TGACTAAAATTCCTGACTCAAAAAGCAAAAGCAAAAAAAAAAAAAAAAAAAAAAAAAAAAAAACAAAAAAAAAAAAAAAAAAAAAAAAAAAAAAAAAAAAAAAAAAAAAAAAAAACCAAGAAGACAGAAGCACCTACCAGAATGAACACTGATTAGAAACACACAGAAAAATGTATCCAAGCTTGATGCTGTTGCTTTTAGATGATTTTTCCTATTCTCTTGGGTTGTGTTTTGCTCATTACTTAACATATATTTACTTGTTTGCTTTCTAAAAATAGTTGCAATTCTAATTACTCTGCTTTGTAATTTTCAGTACCATTTAGACTGAAGATGAAATGCCAGATCTTTTTTGGAAAACTACTTTTAAAGCATGCTGAGGGCCACAAAATTACACTTCTTTACCCTTCCAATGTCTGCAGGGGAAAGCATTTCACTCTGCACACAAACATGACAGCTTCTTCACTCTGGCAGGGAAAACTACAGCAGCTCAAGTCACATGTGGCCAGATGTAGGGGATAAAGAACTCAAAACGGACAGTTACAGTTATAACTGCCCATTTTTACCATTCCATAGGAAATATACTTCATATACCTCAGCGGCCAGTACAGGAGACCCATTTATAGCCCTTATGAATGCATCCTCCCTATTGCTACTTACTTAAGTCATACCCTAAAAATATGCCTCCTTGGAAAACAATTTATTTTAAAGTAAAGATACTTTTTAAAGACTTGAGCAAGACCTTCCAGATCCATAATAAAAATCTCGCTTTATTCTTCTTCCCATAAGGTAAAATTTATTACATAAATGGAAACGCAGGGTGTAATTCTTTTCTTGAAATGAGTTTGAGACAACTTTCTAAAATATCTGAAAATTCTAAAGTAACCAAAGCTTGCTTCACATGCTAAGGAGAACTCTCCAACCACCCTCTCCAGTGCCAGAGGTGCGATGGGAGGGCGTTAACTCAGGGCAGAGCCACCCTTTTACTTAAAGAAAAATGCCCATTGCCTGACTCCAAACTCACTTGTTCCTGGGACCTGATAGAACAGAGGCTAGGGCTTCAATGTGGAAGACACCTTCTCCTCCATAGCCTGCAGACCTCCTCCATGGTCTGCAGCTCAAACCAGCTGCACTACATTTCTGGCCAGTGGGTAGAAAGGCAGGGGTGAGAGACCCAGGGGGGAAAAGGGAGAGGAACACAGCCAGCTCTCCCAAACCCAAAGGGCACCACACAGATCCTCACCCCTGGGTGCAGCTCCAACAGTCCACATTCACACCTGCCTCTTGGAATACCCATATACCTGTCTCCCTGGAACACAGAGTGACAGATTCCAACCACCACCCACCTTGACTTCACAAGGACTCCACATCCTAAGGCTCACTGGAAAATGCAAATCCAAATGAGATGCAGCTCCCCAACAACACTAGAAAGGTCACTCGGAGGCCCCATGAGCTAAACAGAGTAATGAAATTAGTCCTTGATATTTCCATGTTAACAATTCCAGAAGCAAAGGTCAAAGGTGCACGGGGAAGGCCTTTTGGTAGGATGGCAACTAGGCGATAAACAAAAATACAGGGGAGTACGACTGTGCTGGGGAAGCTGTGAGTGGTTCACATTCAGTAAGAGGAAAGTTAATTGAACTTTTCCCACCACTTCTAGAACTTTTGAGGGGGAGGGATTAGGCAGCAAAGAGATGCATTTTTGAAAGGACTGATTGTGTTCTAAATAGCTTTTTCTAAGCACTAAAATGTATAAACATTTGCAGCTAGTAAGACTTCTGCTTTTGAAGGAATGTTACTTCCAAGTTCAAATACTGATAATGTAGATATGTCATCAAATAAATTTTTGTTTCCACTTTGTTCCCTTAGATCTATTAATTACAACGAGGTATAGACCCATGTCTACCACTAAGAAAACTGGATCTCTCCAGATACATTTGGCCAACCAAAAACCAAAGAGAAAGCTGATAAGCTTGTTCTGCACACATAACAGCAATGCTTTCCTCAGTCAGAAAACTAGTTATAAGCAAAATGCCACTTGTAATTAGATAATTAACATATGTTCTTTCCTCCTAAGTTGAAAGTGGAATAAAAACCCAAACAGTGAAATGTCTCAAAGGTCTATACAAGCATATTGCAAGAGGAAAGTGCACAGGCTGAGACAGGCTCCCTCCTGCTGAACATAATCAGCTTATATTTCAGTTTCCTATTTCTATGGCATTAAGGTACAATGCAGCTGAAACTCTAAACACAATCTCCAGTCAGACTTGAAGCCACTCCCATAAAATTCTTTTTCAGAGATTCCTTCTGGTTAACTATGAACAAAACCAAAACAGAGCCTAGAAAAAGAATGGATAAAAAAACCCACAACCCAATAAACTCAGTACTGGTTTTTCAAGACCCACCCATGACTTAAACTGTGAGGTTGAATTATCATTTTTCCCCATTTGGGAGGACTGGAAGCCATCTGTTGAGAGTATTCCTTACTTCAAAGTATTCTTTAAAGAATCTTTTTTTGTTCACATAATTGCTGCTAAGCTTAATCACATCAAATTCACTTCTAAAATTCAAATATCTCAGTAAGGTAAATGGAGTTAAAACCTTCATTTGTGGACATAGAGATAAAGTGCTTTTTAACACTGTGACCTGTTTTTATGTTTTATTTTGTTTTTTTTTTAAGAACTCTCTCAATCTATTCGCTTCATTTTCATCCCTGAGATGTCTTACAAAGTTAGAAATGAAAACTCCCAACAAATTTTTATCTATAAATTTAGTTACCTCTAAACCTCTCTACAAATAATAACATTAAACAATATAAACCATCCTCACAACATCAGCAGTTATTATCAGGTACACATCCTAAAAAAGTTCTTGACTCTAGATCAATTCAATATATTGTACAATCTGGAAAGACTATTGTGATAAGCTCTCAGAAACACAAATAAGCACGTCTCCCTTTTCTCTATTCAATGTTGCAAACAGTGAGCTGCTACCAAATAAGCCACGCTGGTGTTTTGTTTCATTTTAGAAAGGCATGCCCAACAGTCTTGGTTAGCATTATTACAGATCGGCTGGGGATGCTATTTTTTTAGAATGTTAATGTGCCCTGAATGTTTCAGTATATTCAAATTATCAACTGTAAGAAAACAAAATCTTACTGGTGAACTAAGGAAAGATTTGAACGTTAGCACCTTATCAAAATTCTAATTTAATTACCAGAATACATGCGAGTCTTAGGGCAAGTTCAGTTTATCTGGAACCCATTCAAGATGGCTATGGGGTCACTCCTTGAAACTAAAGATGTCGCCATCCACTGACTCAACTCCATACACCGCTGATACCAGAATAGTGGTACATGGTGTATTAAATTCTGGCCAGTCTGTGTAAATAAAATTCAGCTCTTTCGACGCCACAATTAAAGAATGCAAAGAAAAATGAAGGAAAACAAATAAAAAGATCTTATTTCTTTACAAGGTAGTAGCAAGTACCCTACCAAATAGCACAAGAAGGTCTAGTTCCCTAAAGAAACGTTCCTAAACCAAGATACTTAAATTATATTGAGAGTGGTTTAAAACATAATCTAAGAAAGATCCTGGTGGGGTGCCATCCACTTTGCTTGCACTCTGCTCAACGCACATCCATTTTTAAATCGTCATTAGTCGAGATCCAATACTTAATGGCCGGTTCACGGGAAATGCCCTTGTGCTGTATGTGTAATTAAGGCCCCGTCTAAAGTTCCTTCTGTGACTTACTGGTTAAGTCAGCACAGAGTGGACTAGGGGGTCCAGGCGCCCCGTTCTTTGTTACACAGTGGACATCTCTGGAAGGCCCGGCTCGGGCCCACGGGCACATCTGGGCTTTAGAAGCAGCCCAGAAGTCTACACCGGCCTCCTGCTTATCACCAAGGAATTCATCGGGTCCCATAAGCAGGTCATAAACCAACACACATCAGCCCCTCGCCGAAATGGCCAAGCTCAAGTGCCCACCGGCCTCTCCCACCCCAAACTCGCCCCTTTCGGGGGCGCAGGACCCAACTCAGGTGTGAAGACTTATGTAACCGTCTTCGGGGACCACGCCTTTCCCACCACCCAGCCTCCGCCAGAACAAAGTGAAGTTTAAAATAGAAACCAATTACCTGGCCTCCGCCGCGCCTCGGCCCCGAAGCCCGGCTGTGCAGCCGCG